ACTTTATTCCTAAGGAGAAGGATTTTAATGTGTATGTTAGGAAAAACGTGTAGGTTTAAGGCACTAAAATAGATATAATGTGCTTTAAGGAGGAGAGCTGATTCAAATGGGGGTTGGAGTAGGCTCCACAGATGAGAAATGACAGCCAAGTCGGATGAAGCAGAGTTAGGCTACTGTCTGCTACACTTTTAGACCGATCCAGCTACAACTGTAGTAACTCACCTCTGGCCGACATCCACCTTGGGTCAGTAGCCACTGTAGGCATGCCAGGTTGCCTGTTGCTGCTGCGTCGTGCGCCGCGCTTGCCCCGTTATTTGCCACACAATCGCCCGGCAGCCCTGCCTCCTCCACCAAAAACCGCAGGCAGGCTAACTTCCCCGCCCGGGCTGCGTGGTGGACGGGCGAAGCTCCCAGCGCATCCTTGACGTCGCTGGTCAGCGCATTTGCCGCTAATTGCACTTTTAAAGTCTGCACGTCCCCCTGCCTTGCGGCCAGCAGGGTCTTGTCACCCTCCACCACCATGACTGCTGCAGATTGCGCGACTCCTTCCTTCCTTTGGTAGCCTCCGTTGACCCGATCACCGTGCAGATAGTGCGGATAGGGTCAGAGTTGTATTTATAAATGAGTGGATCATGTCAGTAGCCGGGTTAATTTTGGGGTGGGGTGTTGGTGGGAGAGACGCTTGGTTATCGCTCCATGGGTCTTCCCAAAGCGCTGTTCAAATGAAAGATCCCTTTATCGTTCATAAGTTTTTGTTTTCCAGGTAGTGCAATATTTACATGCTGAAATAAAACTTCATACCCGACTGACAAACTAACCTCTTTCTTAGGCTTTGTCTGGCCCGACGTTGTAGCTCAGTAGGTTATCCGCTGTCTGTCTCCAATAGCATCCACCTGTTGCACAAGTTGTGTTCTGGGTTACCAGACGGTCTAAACTATCTTTTCCCCCCAAATTAGTTTATTAACCTTTTTTTGCTGCTGAATAACTATCGCGTATCATGCGCCCCAGGGAATATTCCGCTGTGTTTTTCTTCCTATAGCAGATGGCGACATGGGACTCAGCGCCTGTTAAATAATCCATCAGGGGGAGGATCACTGAGCCTGTTACAGGTTGCTGCTTTCTGGAAATCGGCTCAGAAATTAAAGGAGCAGTACGTACATGCTACTTACAACTCTGGATATACATTAATTATGCTGCTGGGGTGAAGGTGCTCGTCGCTGCCAGTCAAGATAGACTCACATTAATTCAGCAATGGACTTTTTGAACATACCCCAGATCCTGTTTGCAAACAGCATTAATATTACATGTGGCAGTGAAATCAGCATCACAGGATCCGAGCACTTTTGCACACTACAGAGGTCCATCTAGTGGCCTCTCACGGGAGTGTAACCCCCC